CTAACCAATCCCTTGTAAGATTGTGGCCAGCCAATTATTTTGGCAGAATTATGAACTCAAGACCAGAAAGGCCATATAGCAAGACAAATCCATTGCTCTGTAGAGATGGTCAGAAGTCCTTTGGTCTGCAGCACTCTTTCTATAGGACATAAAAGTGACTTGTCTGCAATCACCCAGCTGCTTTCAGAGCTAGGGTGAGAAGCCAGGTCTCCTGACTCCTGAGCCCTGGCCAAGACTTGTAACAGCTTCAGAAGGCCATCAGCGAGATTAGAACACTCCCAGAGGGCACATCCATTTCTTCCTACAATCAAAGTCTTCCATGGACTGTATCATGACTGTGGGGCTTAATACTAAGAGTGAATTTTACTGGCTGTAATTTTTAAAAGGGGAACAAAAAAAAGAACCTTCCATGTAGATTATCTTAATCACAAGAAACTTTTAGGATTTTCTCCTCTGTTCCAGAAAATATGTGAGTTCTTTGGACTTCTTTTTCATAAAACCAGATTAAAAAAAAAAAGTTTCCTCTTTCCACCTTGCGATACTCTTTCCCATCTTTTCCACCACCCCATAACCTGTGAGGTGCATAGGTAGCTGTTTTCATCTCCTTTCTATAAGAGGAGTCAGTCGTGTAGACCCAGGTTCAAATCCTAGTTTGGCCCTTCACCACCTGTGTGAGCTTGGGCAGATTACTTAACCTCTCTGAGCCTCACTTTCCTCAAATTTACATGAGCCTGATCATAATACCTTCCTCATTAAGCTGCTGCAGGTACTGAGTTTTATGCAGCATTTCCCAAACTTTCCTGATGAGAAATCCCCTACGGTACTTGTTAAAAACTGGTTCGTGGGCCCCAATCCAGAGCTACTGAACCAGAATTCCCAGGGGTGAGGCCTGATAGTCTGACAAGCTCCGCAGAGTCTTATCAGGAAAGTTTGGGAAACATTAGGTTGATTTTTGTAAAGCATTTATTGTTGTGTCTGGCACTAAACAGCTAATACCTCTATGTGCTCAATCTTTGAAATGGGGACAAAATGACTAACCAGACGGGGCTACAGTGAGAAACAAGCAACATAATGTGCACTGCCCTGAAAATCGTTAAGTCCTAAGTATATGTTGATTACCTTACTTCAATTGCATTAGGATTTTTCAGGCTGAATGGAATTATCCAGAGGCCAGCTAGCTCTCTTCCCGTTTCCTGTCTCTGCTTTCCTCCGTGCTGGCTTCAATCTCACGCAGGCTCTCACCAGTGTACCTTCCAGGCCTACATCCTCCAGCCCAGCACCCACAACAGGAAGAGTTCTCATTTTCCACATCCCAGGGACCAAGCCTCATTGGAGTAATTTGTGCTCCAGACTTAACCTTGTCCCAGTCACTGGCCAGAGCTTGGAATACATTGATCGGCCAGGCCAGCCTGGGTCACCCGCTTATCCCAGAAGCCAGAATGGCAAGGGGTCAGCCCCATCTGAACTTTATGGGTATAGAATTATCCATATCTACAGGAGTCCTTCAGATGGTCCCCATAATGTTGTTGCTAAACCAAGAGAAACCGAAGCTTGGCAGGTAACCCCACAGATGTCCTCTGCATCCACTCCCTAATCCCACAGTCAGTGAGCTGTCTCTGACGTCCCATCTGGTTTGAATCCTGCCCCAGTCTCTCCTCTGCTGGCATATTCATGGCTGGCCATGAGGGCCTCCATCGGGCTGATCCAGCCTCGACCCACCCCCATCTGTCCACCCATCTCCAGCCCTCGGGGTCCTTGCCTTGCTCACCCCTAGGCCCAGTCTGCCACAGGGGCCTGTCCAAGGGCTGGCCCAGGGGCTCATGGCCACCATTGTCCAAAGCTGCTTATTAGAGACCCACTGTGGGAATCCTTCCAACCATGAACAATGAGTTTCTGGAGCAGGATAAAAACAGCCTTTGCAAGTCAGCAATTGAGACAAACTGAATTGCACATCTCCTTTTGTCTGCCCAGCACTTGGAACACAGTGGATAAGAACAAGGTCTCTGCCATCAGAAAAGACCTAAGCTTGAGGCCTAACTGTCACTTACTAGCTAGGTTAATTGTCTCACCTCTGTGAGTCTCTCAACCTGTGAACACCATGTAAGATTAAAGGATGCAACGGATACGAAGTATACAGTACAGACTAGTAGCTCATAACCTCAGATCTTCGTTATCATCATTCTGCACCAGGACGCGCACACCCCTGCACGGGGGTGATCAACAGCAGACACCACCACTGTGAATATTAACAACCCGCCCACGGCCGTTGAGTTGATTCCAACTTATATAGTTACCCCATCGGGTTTCCAAGGCTGTGAATCTCTACAGAAGCAGACTGCACATCTTTCTCCTGTGGAGCTGCTGCTGGTTTTGAACTGCTGACCTATCAGTTAGCAATCGATGGCTTTAACCACTGCATCGCCAGGGCTCCTTATATTAACATACAACGTATTCTGAAACCACACAAAACTCAGATGGGCCACTGCGCTCACTACGTGCCCCAGGCTTGCTGTGTTCCTCCTGGAAGCTACACTGCCCTGGGGATCTTCTCTCCCACAACAGCTGGCTCCCCCATCCACACAGAATAGCAGGGTGAGGTATGACAGAGAAGCCCAGGAATGGGAGTCCTGGGCTCGGAACGGATTACCCAGTAAGCAGTGCACACAGGCTTGATTGTGTTTACTTCACTCATCCGTAGTGCACAACTGCCTAGTGAGGAAGGTGTTATCATCTTTGATGTGGTGAAAACAGGTGCAATTGTGCAGTAGATTAGTAAGCATGAGTAAGCCTGTGCATACCTTGCTTACTGGATAATCCATCCCTGCCTGGGCTCCAGGGTTGCCTGCCACCATCTTGCAGTGTGACCTCTGGCACCTCGGTTGCCCTCTCTGGGCTTTGGTGTCCTCCTTTGTCAAATGAAGGTGGGACTGGGGGATTTCTAAGGGTTTCTCCCTCACAAGGGTCTCATGACATTTGCTAGCACTCAGTACTGATGTGATGGTCACGGGGGGGAGAAGCTGCTTCAACACAGCTGGCTCAGACAGAGAGGGGGTCACAGATCTGGAGAGCCTGGCCAGGAAGCAGGAGGCAGAGGGTGGAGGCACTCTAGTGTAAGGTTAAAAGGGCAGGCGCTGGGATCAGACACACCTGGTTTGAACCCTGATGTTGCTCTTCTGGTTGTATGACCATGGGTGAAATCACTCTAGGATCTACTGTGTAACAAGGATGATAATGCTGTCTACATCAGGTGGCTGTGAGGATTCAATCAGATTAATGAGACGCTGCATATAAGGTGCCTCACACACAGCAGGAGCTCCATAAAACTTGGCTTACTTTTACTCCTTCTTCCCTCTCTGGTTGAGCTTCCTCTTTCTGCTTGCTATCCATGACTAAACTCTATGAAGCAGAAATGACAGTTGTTTTACCCTGGCACCACCTCTTACTTCCACGTGAGCCAACCTCCATTTCCCTCATCTGAAAAATGGACACAGTAAGTTCTCCTTAAAGGGTTGATGAGTGGCTAATACAATTTGTACATAAAAGGAGTTTTCTCCTCTCTCATCATCCACTTTACCTTTCATTTTGTAGCATTTCCTAATCAATGAGTCAATCAATCACTGAAGTCCCCTTTGGAGGGCCATGGAGGCCAGGTCAGAATCTCTCAATTTCAGCCTTGCCTATTTTGTCTTCATAGCTCCAATGCTACAGTATCTGGCCCACGGGAGGCCACCTCCCCACATCCTCAGCCAAAAGCCAGAGGATGCCAACCTCAAAGAAAAGGGAAGTAGAGGCCAGGGCTTCAGCTAGGAGAGTGGGTCTCTCCTCGTCACCACTTCATACTGCTGGAATCGCAGTCTGGCTCACCATGGGGTTCGAAGCTGTAGGATGAATGTGTGTGTAAAACCCCCAAGTTGGTATAACCCTTCTGGCAAACACAACAGAACCTTGCATATGAGCCCTATAGGCTTTATAAACCTTTGGTGCTCTCTCTGCCCTTTGACTGGAGTATTTAGTCCATTTACATTCACTGTAATTAGAAGTGAACTTACTTCTGCCATTTTGTTTTTGTGTCTTAAGCCATCTTTGTCCTTTACTACTGCTTGCTTTTGTGTTTTGTTGGCTATTGTTTATGTAGTGAGCCTTTTTGGTTCCCATCTCATTCCCTTTTGTGCATGTTTTTTAGATCTTTTCTTAGTGGTTACTATATTTAACAGCTTGTATTTGTAACATTCTAGGGTAAATTGGTACCAACTAAACTTCAGTAACATACAAGAAATCCTACACCTATACTACTCTTTTGTTATCACTAATTACATCTTTGTATTTCACCTGCCTCGCAAGGTAATTTTATCCTTGCTTTTTATACATTTGTTATTAAAAAGCATGAAGGATGAAACAATTTAACTTTTGGTTCAACGACTCTAAGAGTTTGTATTACAAAATCTAAAGAAAGTATGAGCAATTACTTATGTAACAGAATGTTCACTGTAGTGGCAAGATAGAAATAACCCCAGTAACTAACCATTTGATTAGAATTAAGCAAATCAGAATACAGTTGATAAACTATGTAGCCAGTTAACATAAATAGAAGACTACTTAGAGAGGCAAGTCATAATCTGTTAAGGAAGAAACAAGACATCATGTATACATCTGTTTAGGAACTCGTTTTAGATATTCCTGAGGTTTTCAAGCATATATTTTTAGTCTGAAAAATAAAATGGAAGATATTCAAAAGAAAGTTCTATGGTTGGCCCAAACTCTACCAACTTTTTGGTGCTTTTTTTTTAAATCTTTTAATGCAGACAGCATACCACTGTGTCTGGCTTTGAGACCGAAAGTATCCAAATGTAGCATTAGGTTCCACACTTTAAAGGAAAAGCTAGTATATCAGGTAACAAAACGGAACCCCCCTCCTCACACCCAGCCATCTAGCAAGTTACCTAGAACGCCTCTTAGAAAATCAGTGGCCTGTTGGGACTCAAAGAAGCCACCCCCAAAAAAATTGTATAAAAAGATTTATTGAAATTTATCAATGACAGACAGACATAGAACTCAAAGTTTGGCTCCTCTGAGGGAGAGGAGAAGAACGGGTGCAGATGTTTTTTATACAGGTGAAACACGGGCTAGGAAATAACACGTCACTTCTACAGCAATCCAGAAGAGGGACGTAAAAGCCAACCTGTACATTCACTAGGAATTTGCAGTCATTTCAGATTTTCACTAGGTAAGAAAATACAATTTTGCATTAGTTTTCCGTGCTTGGGTGTATGAAAAAAAAAAAAAAAAAAAACCCAGCCGACATGCAGCAACGTCTCCTGTACTTAGTTAGGCCCGTAAAAATGTTCTGAGCACAGAAGTACACGTGGAAGAATCCTCTTGTCATTTTGTAAAACAAAGAGTTCTAGTATTTTACAGACCAAGACAGGGCAAGTTTTTTTTTTTTTTCCTTTTAAAGAGGTTGAAGTTTGAGGGTTTGCTTCTTCTCTTTTAATTGTAATCATCAAATTCATTTTACTTATGACTTGTAAGCCTGCTGTTCTCAGCTCTCTAGCTGAAACATCAGTGTAACATCAGAGTCCTCTTTGTACAGCAAAGCCCACCACCATCTGAGCCGGGAGGGGCGGGGGGAGATGGGGATTATCCCCAAACCAGTGCCAAAATACGCCTTTAGGTTACTATTTACAAACCCGAGTGACCGATGCCTCTAGCAGGCCCAAGAAATGCGAAGTCATCTGATCCAGAACAAGCCTTAAGATACAGCCGGTGCTCAGCCTCTCCTGGGCTTCGACTAGTAACCAACGGAGGCCAGCCACGGGCTTCCAACCAACTCACGAGATACGGGAAATACCAGGAAATGTAAGACCTCCAAACCATCCTCTTTGCGAGTAAGGAACAAACGCTCACTCCGTGTGTCCTCAGCGATTGCATTTACAGGGACTGAACCAGACACAGAGAAAAAGTAGGGGAAAGAAAAATAAAGAGTGGCAGTAAAAATAGTATTTTATTCCACCCTCTCCCGCCCCCCTCCCCCTCCCCATAACCCCCAGTACACTTTTCCCCTCTCGTTCCCACAGCAACATTACAATCAGAAAAAAATAAGTCTCGGGGTTGGGGGGCAGCAGGGTTGGGGGAAGGGGGTGCGGGTAAAAACAGTCAAATCACAATCGGAATTTTTCAACATAGGTTATTCCGCTTAGTCATCATCTTCCCCCTCATCTTCAGGCTCTCGTTTTCGCTTCTGACCCCTTTCTTCTTCTGGAAGAGTAAAGAAAAGGCACTGAGATTAAACATGGGTCTTGTCTCTTTAACTTACCCCGCCCGCAGAGAAACCAGGGGACCACACGGGTCTAGGGCTTCTAGGGCTTCGTAACCCGAGGCCTATCATCCCCAGCAAACTAAGGCGGGGTATCTGCAGAGCCAGGGAGGCACCTGGGGCCTCGGGGAGGAGGGAGTGTTCCACCCACTGCTAGGGCTGGCTCTCAGGGCCTAGGCACTCTCAGGCCAACCAAAGGGGCCAGCCTGCCACCACCGAGAGGAAGAACGCCGCCATACCACCAAGATCTTCTTCGTCTTCCTCGTCATCTACTTCCCCGTCGTTATAACCTTCTTCATCCTCCTAAGAGAGAAGACAGACATCAGAACATTAGAAATACTCCCAGGCTAGGGACACGCGGAGGCAGCCACTTTCCCAACACTGAGCTCAAAGAGATAGGGGTCACCCCAGTCTCTCGGAGCCCCAGACCAAGGACCAGCCATCTCAGGATAAACCTAAAGCAGAGGTTCTTAGCTTAGGTTGGATCAAGGACCTCTTGGAGAATCTGCACAAAGCTTTGAACCCCTTCCTCCGGAAGTACCCATATCACATACATGATCAGCAAACAGTACGTTAGGGGGTTCTGCAAACAATATGTTAGGGGGTTGTACATTCTACTTTCGGGTAACTCCCGATCTAAAGCCCCTATAATAATGGCAGTTTAGCAGATTCCCTGCCATATAAAGTAGACCATCCATCAGTCCATCTGTCCTTAATGTAGTTCTGGCTTCTAGGCAAGACTCCAGTTTCAGCAAATCCAGATTCTGAGGGTAAGTCCAACCCTACCCTATCCTACCCAGTACCTACACCATCTTGCAGACTCGGACCACCTGGAGCCGAGGGAAAACCAGTGCTGTTGAGTCTATTCTGATCATGGCAACCTCATGTGTGTCAGAGTAGAATTGTGCCCCATGGATTTTCGATGGCTAATTTTTTGGAATTAGATTGCCTGGCCTTTCTTCCAAGGTGCCTCTGGGTGGACTCGAACCTCCAATCTTTCAGTTAGCAGTCTAGCTATTAAATCATTTGCACCACCGAGGGAAGGGGGTGGATAAATTCAAGGCTCCCTCAAGGACCACATTCCTAACTCCCTTGAGATTCAGCAAGGTGTATGGTTTCATTCTCAACACAGGGCCCTCGTTTTACGCTGCTACTTAAGTTATGGGCTAGTTGAATTTCTGAATATTGAACAATGTTCCTAAAAAGCATCAGGCAGCCCATTGTTTAAAAAGAACTTGGTGACAGACTTCTTTTTGTCTAGGGAAATAGCCTTCTGTAACGTCACCAAACAGTTCCCTAATCAGTCTGTTTGCTAAGGTTCTGTTTTTGTGTATAAACTCTCTTTTACTGGAAGCTGGAAATCTACAGATGGTCAGTGAGATTACAAAGAAAAGTCCCTGCACACTGCAGCTCTTGTGACAGGAAGGGCAAGATGAAAAATCCATTAGCCAACGCGACAGGTTGCCCTGTCCTAGGAGGACTTATTTTTCAGTCTTCATTTTTAAAATACTACAATATTCTTTAGAAGTGAGTCTAGCAGCTTAGACTGAAGAAGAAAAGAAATCCAGCCCAGGAATAGAGAGACACCAAACCCATCTCATCAGCTTTCCTAGTCGCCTTGACCTGCTGCTCCTCCCAGGCCCAGGGTGGGGCGCCTGGGAGATTCTGCCTGAGCGAGTCTGCAGGGCAGGCGGACGTCTCTGCTCTGAATTAAGGGAGACGGGAAACTGGGGGAGAGAGCAGGGATCCCTGGAAGGGGAAACGCCAGCGTGTTGTTGCCGGTGCTGTTGTCATTTTGAATCTCTCCAGGAAGCCCGGTGGGGTAGCTCTACCCTGTCCTGTAGGGTCACTGTGAGGAGGAACTGACTCGATGGCACTCAACAACAATAACCTAACTCTGGCAATTTGCAAACGCCGATTCAGAATTCCGAAAAAGTCACGGAAAATGACTTCGCTATAGAGACTCGGACATCCAAACATAAAACCCAGGACCTTGGAAAAGGATCTGACAGCCTAAAATAGTGAGTGGATGAACACTTACCCGTCAGACAGTCCTTAAGCATTTTACTTTCATTTTATTTTGTCCTATTAACAATCCAGTAAAATAGGGTTGTTAATAGGATAATTATCGTACTGGTGAAGAAACAGGCCCAGAAATGTCAGATACCTTGCCCAAGGACACACAGCTAGCAAGTGGCAGAGCTGGGATTCAGCCCCACAAAGACTGCGCTCTTAACCTCTGTACTGTGTTACCCCTCACAGACATTTCACAGACCTTGTTCAATAATTGTGAACTGGCCAATCTGTTAGGATAGTGTACGACTCCTGATGTATGATTGCCACCATTCACAGGTGACCCATGTCACTGATTTGGGACCCAGCAGTGTTTTACCCTGCAAGCATGTACCACTTCAAGGTAGTGCTGGTCTCTGATTTTCCCTAGCACACTCTTAAGTGCTCAGTGAACAGTCACTGAACTAACACATGAATGCAAAAAAGGCAGGAAATGGGGACACTGATTCTGTACTTCTGTACGAACTCACACAGAAATGAGGGCTGGGCTTACCTGGGCCCCTTCTTTACCTGCCTCCAGAATCCTCTATTCCTCACTCCTAATCCACCCACCTCCCCAGGGCTCGCTGGAAGTCCTGTCTCCCCAAGACCAGTAAAACAGTATGGAATGAAACCATTTCTCTGTCCACAGGGGAGGTGACTTTCCAACCAGGGCTACTGGGCTGATCCCAGAGTCCTTTAGTGGAACTGACTCAGAGACAGCAAGCAGGGGGAGCTTGGGGAGAGAGGAACCCCACCCTGCCCAGCACTAGCTCCTTACCTCCTCCTCTCCACTCACGTCCTCCTCTTCACCTTCCTCCTCCTCCTCCTCGTCCTCCTCGTCTTCTACTACCTGAGCATCTTCATCGTATTCTTCCTCTGTGCAACCAAAATGGGGAGTAAGAACACATCTGGCAGGGAGCTGCTGCTCCCTCACGCCAACACAGGCCCCGGCTGGTGGGACAGGCAGGGGTGGCAGGGTCTTCAGTGTGGGCCTGGGACCCTCCCACACCCACCTAGGCCAAAGTCTGAGTGCTTTAATGCTCACGAAAGCAGTACCAATATGTCATCACACATGTCTGAAAGTGATCCAAGAGACACCCTCCCTGCAAGTTTAACAAAATCCAAGATCCCGTGTGGAAAGCTGAGACAACAGACGAACAAGCTACAGGGCCTGAGCTGACCAGTCAATAAAAAAGAGCACCAGTCCTAACTCCCCACCTTGAAGATGGAAACCTGAGGCATGGAAGTGATTGGCTCAGGGCCACACATCAAATCAGTGGGAGAGCTGGGTCTAGAAATTGGGTCTCAGGACCCATGTGCCCTTTCTGCCATATCACAAGATCCCCGGTAAGGCCAACAGGGTATCTGATTATCTTGCAAAAGACTCCCAACCTAACAAGGAAACACACAAACTCGTGTCTGAAGTAACTGGGCAAGTGTCTCAATTCTCAGCTTTCCCCCGGCCATGAAGACCTGCACGGCTGCAGGCGAGCAGGTGTCGGGGGCAGAGGAGGAGAGGCTCTGTTCTCCTCCCTGAAGGCCCGGCTGTGCCAGCCCTTCTCCCCCACTGCCAGTGCCTGTGGAACATGCTGCCTGCAGCCTCCTTCACTGCCTGGGGCCCCTGGGGCTCCTGAGGCCACACGCCCAAGTCTTAGCCTATGGCCTTGTGGGCTGCAGCCACCAAGGGTGCCACCACCTCTCCAGATCATAACCTCACCTCCACTGGACACCCAGATGGGGAGAGGGGACCCTGAGGCTGCACCCCACCTTCCTCTATCCCCATGCCCACCCCCTTGGAAGACTGTCTAAGTCTATGGTCATATTGCAGAGACAATGTAAAATTCACCCCCTGGGCAGTTTCGGAAAGGGGGAAAAATTGAAGTGAGAATGATTTCAGATAGATGGTTGCCTAAGAAGTTTCTATGCAGCTGAAGACTCTCAGGATGTTTCTCTGGGGCAGGTTAGAAAGTAACAGTAAACAAAGTAGACAGCCCACTCCCCTCCACAGCTTGAAAACAGGTAGGCCGCTAGCTGCCCTCAGCAGCAGGTGGGGGCCCCCCAACAGTCCCGGCCCTCCCTCCAGCACGCACCGTCCTCGTCCTCCTCCTCGTCGTCCAGGCCCTCCACATAGCCCTCGGCATCCGAGTCAGGGGCCTCCTTGTCGTCCCGGTCGTAGCCATCGAGATACGTGAGTTGTGGGAGGAGCTTGAACACGTTTTCTCGGTAGTCGTTCAGGTTGGTTACCTCACAATTGAAAAGGTCTAAGCTCTTGAGGTTTTCTAACTTTTTCTGCAAGTGGGAAAATGAAGTAACAGTGAGCAATTTGTTGGAGGCGGGGTGGGAAGGTCAAAAGCAACCCTGAGAAACCGGTGGGGGTGACGTGAGAACATGTGGAGCCCTCAGGTCTTGCAGGTGACAAGGAACCCCTGGTGTGGCTCTGCTCAGCCCTGTGTGTGCCCGGGCACATCACCCTGGTTTGTGGGCCTCAGTCCTGCATCTGGACAAGGGGACTGGACGTGAGGATCTTTAAAACCTAGCTAATACTTTATTCTGCAATTCAGCTTTTGCCTCAACAGTGACTGGCTTGAAATTAACCCAGGGCTCTCTTACAACGTAAGCCAAGTGCTTTGCTGCTGGTCCCTGTCCTTCCCCTGCGGCCAACGAGCCACAGGGGACCAAGAAGGAGATGTGAACTAACCCTGTATCTAGTAATAACAATCATAGCTAACATTGTACTTTATATGTAGTATAACTCAATTTATCCTCACCACTCCTGTAAGGTAGAACGATTATCAGTCCGTTTGACAGATGAGGAAACACCTGGAGGCACAGGAGTCAGGCAGACCAAGCTGGAACCCGCGCTTCCTCTGCAGTACTGCCCGCCAAGAAGGCAGACCTTTCTACTGTAACTAAGAGGCCTCCGGAGCGGTGGGGAGGGCGGGCCTGGGGGGTCGATTTTGTGATTACAGGAGCCCTGGTGTGCAATGGTTAAGTGTTTGGCTGCTAGTAAAAGGTTAGTAGTTTGAACCCACCCAGCAGCTCCACCGGAAAAAAACCTGGCAATCTGTTTTTGTAAAGCCCGCGGCCTAGAAAACCCTTTGGGGCAGTTCTACTCTGCACACGGAGTCACAATGAACTGAAATTGACTCAATGGCACCTAACAACAACAGGATTAGGTCAAAGCTTTATACCAGATGGGTTATAGCTATATCATCCCTGTTCGATGGCTGAGGAAACTGAAGCCCAGAAAATAAAACAGTCACACGGCTAGCAAGGAACAGAACTGCACCTTGACCTCCCACTCCTTACGTCTACAAGAACCCCCATTCCAGCTCAGCCCTACTCTGACTGGACTGTGCCTGACCAGAAAGGAGAGCTGCTGGCCCTCAGGGTCAACGCTGGGAGTCAGGGTTGCTCTCTTCAGGATCTCATGATGGAGACCTGGCTCATTCTCAGCAGAGGGGTCAAGGGTAACACTCAACTAACAGCAGCTTCCCATCCCTGATAAACACGTAGAAGCTGGGTGGGGGGCAACAGAAGAGGGTCTCTAATCTTTAGTGGTGACTGAATCATTGTATAGGGATTTGATATACTCAGTCTCCATACCTCGCCCCCAAAACATAACACACACAAAACTTCAAAGATTTCTCCTTTCCCTATGAAATCAAGACTTCTCAGTGGATACGAACAGTTTTGCTTCCTTCTAGATCAGCGGAAAATCTGAAAAGCAGCTCTGTGGGAAGCACATTATTTAGTTGACCCCAAGCCACAGATGGACAAGTAAAGTTTGACCTTGGGAGAGAAATGCCAGCTCCCTGTTCTGCTACCTTTGCCCCATCAGCCAGCCCCTTGAGCTTCCACAGAGAGCAAGGAGTGTTTTTAAGGCAACAACCCTGCAAACCCACACCCAAACAACTGAGGGGGTGCTCCCAACCTCCACCCTATATACCCAGAAAAGGGAAGCATAAGCAGACTAAACAAGAAGTCCTCATGGTCTTTCCCCAATCCTAAGTGCATGGTTTATAAGGCGATTCTTATATGTAAATTTACAATAGTGTGTTTCAATGTACTTACTTAATGTTAGAATTTAAAAAAAAAAATAAAAAGGCTGTACTTAAAATCAAGGAAGCACAGTAATTCAGACCCTGGTCGTGTAGACATTGCTATTCTGACCAGCACTTGCCCCTTTCTGGTTCATCAGTAAGGTTTAGGGTGTGCTCAGCTCTCCAAGGAGGAGCAGGAGATGTAAACTGTCCAGCTCTCTGCAGCCGTGGCCAAGTCACACCAAAGACCAGTGACCAGGGGTCATTCTTCTCTCTGCCATGTAAAGGAAGGCCTGCAGGAGGCTCCCGTACCACACAGGTGTCTGCCACCCCAGGTCCTTGTCATCCAGAGGTTGTGTTGGGGTGGGCCTACGCCCATCAATTCAGAGTCACCAGCCTCAGATCAAGTGACCCAAGGAAAAATGGGTGTCTGCTAAGACATGGGGCCGGCTTAATCCTTGGATATTTGCTCCCTCCTCACCCCCAGGGAGGAGCGAGAGCTTATGCTAAGCCTGAAGAAACCATAGCTCAGCTTCCCCAAGTTAAGCAGAAACTGTGAAGGGAAAAGCATGAGACCAGAAACTGAGACCAGGGTCCTTACCCCACCTTCCCCACCTTCCCAGTGACTGCCCGTTTTGACTATTCGACTCCGTCATGCCATTCCACTTCTATGGGCCTTGGTTTCTCTATCGACAAAAAAATAGTAGCTTCAAGTGCATCTCACAGAACAATAATGAGAATCAAAGTAAGATAAATAGTAGTATTCCCTGATACCAGTTCCTCCCCACCCCTCATCCCCTACAGAGAAGGGAGGATTCAAATGACTTACCAGTGGCTCTATTGTGCTGAGGTCTTTAATTTTGTTGCCACTTAAGTTTAGATGTGTGAGGTTCGGACACTTTTCTGCCAATACTTCCAGGCCCCCTGAGATTCTGTTATCGCTTAGTTCAAGCTAAACAAGGCAGGGAGGGAAAAAGCAGAAGAAACAGCTCTTACAATCAGGCTCGGCTCAGAGCGCCCGGCTCTCCCCAGACAGAGCGGGAAGGGAAAGTCGTCTCAGAGACTTAACCGGCATGTCAGTGCAGGCACTTGGTTTTACCTGCAATTATGCTCCCTAAGCACCAGGTAATAAGCCCTTCCTCCTCACCCCCCACCCCAACACTCACACTCACACACACTCTCTCTCTCTATACTCGTATTTACCTTCTTAAGTTTGTTTAACTTTGGTAAGTTTGCGACTGAGGTGAGGCCTACGTTGATTGTACTTAAGAACTCCAGTTCTTCAAATTCATCTGTGAGGCCTTCGATTTTACCTTCAATCGACCGACAGTTGTCCAGAACAAGCTCTTTCACCTGGGAAGGGAAGGAGACATGAATGGAAGTGCGGAATGGGGGCTGGGGCCAGGGAAGGTGTTAGAGGGCCTTCTTGGACGACAGAGAGATGGACCAGGAAGCAGTCCAGGTGACACTGGACTGAAACATGTCAGTTCTGGCTCTTCCGGACCACTGGACTGCCAACGATCAAAGGCTAGATTCACGCACCCTGGTCTTCCTGTCTTTAGCAATACTGAGGGAAGGGCAGGGCTGGGGTAAGCAGAGCTGCAGAACCAGGAGCCACTCCAGACAGGGACTTGGCTGGACGAATCCAATGAGCCCTGCTGCCACAGGTAGGCAGGCAACAGTGGTGTCATTTCAACCCTACTGCCACATTCTCCCGAAAGCCCATTAAAAGGAAAACCCCCAGCCCCACAGCTCCCTGCCAGCATGAGCCATAGTGCTGTTCAGGGCCCTCGGGGCCTAGGACTCACCATTCCATCACATCTCCCCAGCCGAGCGCCCCAGCATGACTCCAGCCTACTTGCTGTCCTCAGCCCCCACCTTCCTTTCACCTCGAGGGTGGGACCCTCTGCTTGCTGATGGTTCCCGAGACGCACACATACACTTGCTCTCGCTGGCTCTGGTGGTCAGAGCCTGCCCACCTGGGGGCTGGCGCTCGGCACTGTGGTCACCCACTTGGCCTGCCCCACGGCAGGGGCAGCAGACGAGGGACCCCTCTGATTCTCCATTCTCTAGACCAGCGCTGCTCAACAGAGTGGCCACGTGGCTACTGAGCACTTGAAATGTGGCAAGTGCACCTGAGGAACTCACCTGTAAATGGGAGTTAATTTTAATTAACGGAAATGTGAAGAGCCACATGTGGCTACCATGTTGGACTGCGCGGCTGCACTTTGCTTTTCAGGGTCCTGGATATAGATGTGCGAGAGAAAACAGAAACCCATAACCCCAGGATGGGCCCATAAGGAAACGCTGAGGTTGGGAAAGTCCAAAAGTCTATCTTTGGAGGCACCTCTGTCCCCCGTCTACCCTCCCCCCTCCCCCAACTCCCTGGAGGCAGTTTTGCCCTTTGTCTACCTCTCTTCTTCTCTTAAACCCAAAATTTGGATCCTATATCCTTTATTTCTAATGAGGCGGAAAGAACCAATAGAAAGCTATGCTGTCATTAGGTTGTTAAAAGGTTAAAAGTTCCAGGCTCCAGGAAAGACGAATAAAGACAAGCTGGGGAAGACTAATCAAGTCTCAGGCATGAAGTGACCCAGCGGAGTCAGCAAGAGAGATGAGGGTGCCTGCTCCTTCAGGCAGATGGCCCAGAGTTAGCCATTCCTGCCTGCAGAGCAGTCCGGCCGCCTGCAAAGCCTGGTCTGGAAGGCCCCTGAGAGGTGATCCCTCCTGCTGTGCCTAGTGCTTGAGACCCCCTACAATGCCCGGCCCAGAGTCCCTTCAGCCCAGAACACAGCCATCCCCACCTGCCCCCTACCTGCCGCCCTCTAGGAAACTCTTTCTGTTGTTGACTAGATACGCTGCCTCCCTGGGAATTCCACATAAAGGTCCTGATTTCTCACCAATGGGAGAAGAAGTGATGGGAACAGGATCCACACACACCAGGCTGCCCCCTCATCCCCCTTCCACATGAGTCCACTCCTGACAGCAAGGCAGAGCCGGGGTGCTCTGGGTACATCTGGATCTCAGAGCCCCGCAGCTACCCTGCTTTCATCCTTTCCTAGTGGATAGAGGCATACGGCTCCGCCTAAGACAAGACAGCAGCAATCTGCAGGTTCCGTCGGGCACAGCCCAGAGAGGAGGCAAGCAGGGGCACGACAGCTCCCTCCCAGAGCTAAGGAGCTCTCAGCCTAGGCACTGGCCACCAGTGCCCACCTTGCCGCTGGCTCTGAGATGGGAGAAGGTAAGTCCCTCTCCATCCCCTCAGCCCCCAGTAGAAGCCAGGTGGCCAGGTCAAGCCAACTTCTCAAGGACACTGACAAGAGTGCCTGGGAATAAATGCTGTAGGCCTTCTGCCCTAAGGCTGGGAAGCAGTGTGGAGTCAGGCAGCCAGGCCTTAGGGGACCAGAGCAAATGCTGGAGATTAACTGCACTGGGGGAGGGGAAGCAGCGCCTTCATTTGCAGTAAACACTAGAAATCACGAGGTCCACAGTCTTCTTTAGCAATTGGTTCCCTTGGAAGGCCCGGGGAATTCTTTAAGCTCCACCAAAGAAAGACAAATATGAGAAGGGATTCCAGTCCACCCTCAAAGACTTCAGACATGTGCTTTTTCTAGGTGGATCAAGGGCTTCTCCTTTTAGTCCTTAGCCACGGAGAGAGGAGGGCCTCAGTGAGGAGGGAGGGGCTGCTGGGGCATCAAGGGAATTCTGCCCGGAAGTCGGCCTCTTTCCTGGAGAGGCTCAATGTTGCCTGCCACCCCTGCCGGCAGCCTTGGGGACTTCAGGCTGAGGACATTGCTGGGGGCAGACTGCCTAGGAAGTCTACAGACAGACAGTTGACCAGGCCAGTCCCCAGCTCCCAATACCACATCTAAACTGGTGGCCACCCCCGGGGGCAATAAGCAAGCCACTACTACTACTACTACTACTACTACTTTTCATTGATAATAGTCACTGGATCTTTCTGGAGCCCTTGTCATGAACCAGGGACACTCTAAGTCCCTCACACATACTACCACATTTGGTTCTCACAACCACCCCATGGAGTATTTATTATGGGGCATTCTCCCTGTTAAAAACCCTAGGACAAAGTCATACAGAAAGGTGTCTACTGGACCGAGCTGGGCAGTGTCGGCTGTAAGATGAAGAGGGCGCCCAGACAGCTTCTCCAACATTCCCAAATGGAGGAGCCAAGCTCCCCCAGACCCCCAGCTCAATTCTACAAGTTCCCTTGACCCTAGCTGCTCCCCTGTAGCCCTTCTTTTAACTGTCACACTAGCCAGTTGGGTGCCACTCCCAGCAGACCCTACCCTGGTTACACTTCCTCAGTAACCAACGCACAGAGCCTAGGCAAGCCCTGGCTGAGATGAAGCTGCACCAGGCAGCAGCAATCCCGACTGGGCCACGGCCTCCCTCTTCCCTAAGCCGCCCTTGGGAAACCCTGTGGTTTCTCTGACCCACCAAGGTGGCTGTTAACGGTCTGGGTGGTGGGGTCTCTGGAATCCCCACTGTTTCTGCATTTCCTTCCTGGTGATGCAGCACTGTCTGGGGCAAGATCAAAGATGAGATGGCTCAGGCAGGGCTGAGATCTGGAGGTTGCTGATATCACCAAAAAGCCCAAACCTAGCGGGGGGAAAGCCCACTGCTTCTTGGGCACAGCAAGGCAGGGTAGGGTGGTGCCTTCCGCGGGGGACTGCCCAGGAGGTGAAAACAGACCAAACAAGACAAAGCAGCCACACCAACCTGACAGCTCCCCTGTGGAGTCATTCAGTCCATCCCCCTGCCTCCACGGAGGGCTACAACTGCTCAGAGCTCCACAAAGGGCTGGATGAGCCAATAAGCTTACCAGATCATCTGTAGTGAAGTTGTTCACTGAGTAAGCACAAGTAAGCCCATGCTTACCCTGCTTACTGGTCATCCGTCCCTGTCAGGGATTGTAAATTTGAAAAGAGGCTTTGGTTCTGCAGGAAGGTGTTGTGGGGCTGGGAGAGAGACAGATGCCAGCCATACCTAGAAGGAAAATCTCTGACGTGGTGAAAAGATGTAGAATTGTTCACTACAGATGATCTGGTAAGCACGGTGCTTACCTTGCCTACTGGATAATCCGCCCCTGGCAGGGTAGGCTAGCACGTTTCAAAGCCTCCAACCATTTGACTCTAAACCCCGCTGCAATTTCAACCCACTTCTCATCTCTGCTTGGCAGCTGCTCTCTGAAACTCGCCAATGCAAAGAGAACACCACTTCTACATCCAGGGTGTGTTCTGCTTAAAAAGGACAGAAAAAAAAAAAAAAAAACAAAACCCCAAAACTAAGGTCTATTTCCCCTGCCAAGTCCTGGGTGTGAGCTAAGCGCAAAGTTAAAATTAAACTGAAAACTTGTACTTTGGGTTTAGACGCTCTCAAAATTCCACTGGCTGTTTAAAAATACCAGAATGTGGTTACTTTCTCTGGTTCAACAACTGGAATTACTCTGCTTGTATAAGCTTTGCAGCCCCCGAAGCCAAACCTTCACAGGATGGCAAGCTTCTTTTCTCCAGTGTTAATGCCCAAGGGGAGCCCTTCTATTCATTTAGCCCCAAGAGGTGTTGGTGGGGAGGCACTGGAGCTTCCAAGAAGTCAGAGAGCAGGGAAGGGAGGGTGGAAGACCCCTCCTGCATTTCCTGAAAAACTTGTCCCCAAAGCCAGACAGCATCAGTTCTTCTCGCCAATGGGAGCTGAAACGTCCATTATAGACACGAACACATTATTACTTTAAGGAACGACCACTGCTTGTTTCAAAACTGAAATCTTGTCCTTAAAAATGTCTCAAATTTGACCTTTCCTCTCCATTCCCAACACTGCAGCCCTGGTCTCTGTCACCTCAAGCCTGCTTTTGCCTCCAAACAGGGTTCTGTGACTGTGGGGACGAACACGGCCAGGAGACAGCCTGGACTACAGGACACAGACCTTGACTTGGGGTCCAAAGACCCAACTGGTTGAATGTTCCTAGGCTCCATCCCCGAGGTCTCAGGCTTCTGCTTCTGCAGAAAGGGGATGATAATAGCTGTTTAACCTATAAAGTACAAACTCCATCCTAGAAAACATTCCTAGTTTCCCACTGCCTCCAGAGAAAAGTCAAGTTCCTAAGCATGACCTCCGAGGCCCTCCATTCTTGACCTCCTATCTCATTACTCCCCACCTCTCACCTTTACCACAAATCTAGCTCAAGCCCCCTCCCCAGGAAACTAGGGGCCTTCCCGCACCCAGCTCTGAGCATCCTGGGGCCCCGAGGGCAGCCGCTGTATGAATCATTTAATCGTGTATTAAGCACCCGCTCCGCCTAGAGGTCAGGGACTGTCCTCCGTAATCAGCCTAGC